AGATACATAACATAGCCGAACCTATTCATTTTTCTATCGCTTTTATTTTTTTTTTTTACTGCTATTGTTTTTAAATATTCCACATTGTAATAGTATTCGTTTTGTCAGGAATGGGCATATGTTGCTAATCCTAGAAGTAAATATACCCCAGAAGATTCCGAAATTGGTGCACTTTCAAGAAATTTCACCTCCTTAACAAATTACTTTCACTTTTAATTAAAACTACATTCTTTAAGATAAAATTTATGACCAAACCTATTGCAGTGAAAGACTAATGCATTTTGTGTGTTGTTTTGTAAAAGATCCCTTTAAGTGTTCATATAAACTTTTAATTAAATTCCTAGATATATTATTTGCTGACTCGCTATCATTTATAAGAGCACTAAAAAATAAAAAAAACAAACAGACAATATACTGCTAATAAAATTATGATTCAAACTAAATTCATTGTCCAACAGTAAAGAAATGGTTGCTATGCTGGATCCCAAGCCACAAAGGAATTTGAGAAAATGACAAGGCATATTCAACCACAAAGTCTGATCAAAATGAAACACCCTGATAATAATTTCAAAATCCTTTATATGAACCTAAAATGTAAAATAAACAGTTACATTCAACAGAAATGGCAGAAATGTTGGACCAGCAACACAAATAATAAACTTCTCACACTCAAAACATTCCTAGATGAATAGAAATAAATATCTAGAGAAAGAAGAAAAGATTAAGTAATGACTATATATAAGCCGCACATAGCTCACCCATTCATACTTGCTGAAGAATGAAGATCAGACGACATGTACACCATGTCAAGCTCTAAAACACATTTTAACTGTATGTACTCACTTAGCCCCTGTAAGACATAAATACCCCAAGGAAAACAACATGAGAAAACTATTGGAAAATAGTGAAACTGTCAACTGTCAGATAACACCGACAATAGATCATCTATAAACTATGAAGCATACGTTTATCCTGAAAGTATAAAAATTATTTAGAAAATATCTGTAGTTAAAGACATAAAATTGCGTTCAAAATATTTAGATTTTGCCATTAAATAACCCATAGGGGTTGATAAGCCGCTAAACTAAAACAACCAAGCAAATCCTAAGTAGATTTCTTGGGATATTCTAATAGTATATTTCGTCAATTCCCGCTTCAAGTATATGATTGTTATTATTTTGTGTTAATTAAAGCTCTTAATTTTTTAATAGATGTAACAAATTATATCTGTCTATATTTCTAAGAGGAGGTATTGTAATTATTTACACTATTTACATCGTTCAGACTGTTGTTCTTAACTTTACTGTCATGTTCAGGATGTTTCGGCCGCTGTATGCTCCGACCTTTTTCAGGTGATATACGTTGGAATTCGAACCCTTTATTTAGTACACGATGGGTACATTATTATCGTTTCACGTGCCATACCTTTCTTGAGATATCTCAGTCTCTCTCAGTTAATTCCCTTTATTAACTCAACTCTCCAAGAATTGTTCCCTCTGCTGTATTGAACTCACAACACTTTGGGTCAAATCATTTTTGGATTACTCAACTAACGCTTTTATTCATTGGGTTCAGTTCGAAATTCCAACGTAATATCACCTGGTGAAACGTCGTGAATATGGTAATAAAGATGAGAACAGTCCAAACAATGTAAATAGTGTATCAAATGATGTATTAAATTTATTATAAATTCTTTTTCATTGCAGTCATTACTCAGTTGGTAGGCAGTTTTATGTGTTTAGATTTATCCGTTTAGTTTTACCAACGTTATTTATGTTATTTTCTTTAATTCTGTGAATTTAGTAAATTCAAATTTTTGCGTTATATATGAAATAATTTGGATACTCGCGGAGTTTAAAAGTATTTTCAACGTATTTCACTTCATCAAAGAAATATTGAGGGCTACAAATTTTATGTGTTCATAAGTAGAAATCAATGCAGTTGTAATTAAAAATTAAAATTAAAAATAATTATTAAGGTGAATATATTGAAAGTGTTCTAATTTCTTAATCTTCCACGAACATGTTGAACATACAATATATCTTTTCTTCTGCACAAAACTAATACCATTACAATGTAGGATAATTAAAAAAATAACCATAAAAATAAAAAAAGAAAAGGAACGGATTCGGTTGGGTTATGCATCGAGATACATCGGACATCAAGTATTAATAATAATTATTAATAATAATAATCCCTCTATCTTCAGCTTTTCTCAGTGTAAAATTGTAACCTGCGTTTGTTATAGATTTTTTCTGTCCATTTATGTATATAAGAATGAGACCATTGATAAAACTATTATTAATCTGAAGAAGTCCCTGCTACGGATGAAACGCATAACGTAGACGTTTTTTTTTTAAATTTTTCATTAAGTTACTCCCCTCCCTACACGCGCGCACGCGCACACACACACACACACACACTGCAGTAAATGCGTTATTTGCTACACATATTTAGGCGTTTGAAAAACACTTATCTCTTATCATCACCAGAAGATAAGAGGAAGTTTGAAATTCGCAAATGAGTTTGTGGTAAATGAGAATCATTGAATAAATAAACAAGGTGCGCTTGATGGCGTGCGTGTTAAAAAAGATGTTTTTTTCGTACGGAAGTAAAATAATAGAAACGACTTGATTTTAGTGGTGAGAGCGGTACACAAAAACGAAAACTCAGTGAATGGTGCAAAGAATCCTAACTAGAAATACAAAGGCCAGCGAATTGTTAGAAAGTGAAAAACTTGCCAAGAGACAGAGAACGTAAAAGACGCAAGATGTGAAGAAAAATCAAATTTAAAGAAGTGTTTTAGGAAAATATCAAAACGGAATTGCGATTTGTGAAAAAAGAATCACATACCAGTCGACCATACAGACGCCAGCAGCTCTGGTTGTTGTCGCCAACGGAATAAAAGAAAGAAAAAGTGGAAAAAAGTAAAGAATATAGTTCACAAGGTTTGTTTTTTGTATTAAAGCATATCAAATGAAAATCGAAGCTTTTCAGAATGGTTTTACCAATCTGTGTTTGATCACATTACATTTTATATTCGGAAAAAGATGAACAAAATTTTATTTTCGTTTTTGCTTTTATCATTACTTTCGTTGATAACAACCTCCTTGTCATTGGTCAGAACTGTCCGTTTAACGTCATTAACATTTAACATAAAATCTTTTAACGATACTTATTAGTTTTCCTTTAAATCTGCATGAAAACATTTTTTAAAGGTTTAGAATAGTTAAAATTTAATTTTGAATAAATAAGTAAATATGAGTTACGTTTGTAATTAATATTATTACTGTTTAAGCTGAAAAACTGAAAAATTACAAAACAATTTAACACTATAAAATCGCTTAATAGAAATGAATGATTTTAAGCGAATTAAATTCAAGTTTTTATTTAACTCAAGTTCTAAAGATTAATTTTTCGTGAAATGATTTCAGTTGTATTCTTATTTTCTTTTGAAATATAATCAAATATTAATACTTATATAAATTTGAATAGAAAATTGCTTTGTGCACACAAATGCCTCAAAGACAACAGTAGATTTTAATCCTAAGTTAAAACTCTAATTTTAAAATTAAAGCCATGCATATTGGATTAGGAATATTTCATTTCAATTTTATAGCGGAAAAATCCGTAATAGATAAAATCTAAATTCTTTGGACAATTTATCTAATTTGTGAATGAAATTCCGTAATAATGATTCCATAATGTGAAAGGCATAATTTTTCGATTGTGTCATATTCTACTCGTCGTTATCAATATGAGAATTTAGAGAATGAAATTCTGACTAATTTCAAAACTCATCTGAAAGCAAATAAGGCTGAATTGCACGATTTTTTAAATGAAACTTGACACTTGAAAAGATGAGAGGTATTGTCCTTAGCTCAAAAAGAGTAAAATCAAATTCTACACCAGTTAATCTCTATGAAAAGAAAAATAACCTAAGGAAAAATTCTTTATTTTTATAGTTGACAAAACTAAAAAAGAAATTCGACTTTTTGTTCAAAACCTCATTTTTCTTTTTTTCGCAGCAAATATAAATTTAATATTTCTAGCCGAAATTTTGCCTTCTTTTTTTAATAGAAAATTGCTGTTATGTGCAATCATTTGTTTTCGATTGTCCGTATTTTTCAATTATCTTATCAATTCCAGTCTTGATAGAGTTCAAAAAACGTCTCCGTGTTGAAGAATTATTTTCCACCCCCTAACCTCTTTCACACAGGTGGGATGTTGCGAGTCTCTCACTTACTCTATCGCTACGACCATGGAAAGTGCTCAAACTCCACCAAGTATAACGTTCAAGGCTACGATCCGCCATGCCACTTCCATTGTAGCAAACCACCCACAATCACTTCCTATTCTATTGGTGAGAAGTAAGTTCCACTAGAACAGCGTCTTCCTGCAAACTGCTGCTCTGTGGAACAGACTTCCAAAAGGATGTTTGCCCGATCACTACAATCTTAACCTGTTAAAGTCAACCGTTATCTTCCTTTCCTAACCATATAAACTACCCCTAAACGTAACTCTCTACCTCGAGTGGCCATCGGGCCTTGTACAGGGACACCGTTACTATAAAAAAGCAAACATTAAATTCCCCAGAGTTATCCCATGAGCATAAGAGAAAGTGTAATTCACACCCTAATAGACGAATTCGTTTGTCGAAATTACCGAAGTCAAATTCAGTGCCTTCCTGACAACGCTAATTTACTGAAAATCAAACAGAAAAAAACATGCCTCTTTAGCCGGCCTTTGAGTTGTGATCAAAGTGTAGTATGATTTTTTTTATCCTTTTGTAAATTCTGAAAGTAACTTAGTCTCGGGAATTCCAACCATGTCACAGAACCTCCCTTATTGCACTAAAGAGGGAGTTTTAGTGGATCCCGATAACAAGGGAGTAGGGATTTTTTCTTTTTTTATCTTCGTTAAACCAACCTTGTGTCACATACTGCTATTGTGGGGAGGGAGGTAAATACCAAAATACAAGTATCAAGAATGAAAATTTTAAGTCGAAAATTTTGTTTCCCAAAATTCAATTAAATCCAAATTGATTTGGGTGGAATTCGTCAAGAGGAGAAAACAGATTCTTTCCAATGTAAACCAATCAGATTTACTTTAGCAGTTGACATTCATAAAAATTGAGATTTAATAAGACGTGAATCAAAGCTTATCCGGGAAAGAACGCATAGTCCATATACTATTGATAATTGTGGTCACTTGTTACGTATAACTTGTCTTAATCATAATAGAACAATCGATAAGAGATTAAAGTTTTTACCACATAGAACAAAAGAAAGGTATAACTTCAACTTCTTAAGCTAAAGAGATAAATATACCAATAGATGGTCTAATTACAAAACATTTCAAACGCCTTTTTATTAGTGGATATATATAGATATCTACATGACATACAGAATATGTAAAATGCATGTTATGAACATCACATTCATTAGTAGACGTATATGTACGCATCAATACAGACATGCAGATATGCAAATATTCATATTTTTATACATAAACGATAGAAATTGAAAATAAATGCAAAACTTTAATGTGTGAAAAATTGGCAAAAATGTTCAAATTCTTCAAATGAAGAGGGTGCATATTTCAAGTGGAGAGAAACATTTTGGGGTGCTTGGAATTTTCTGTAAACTCGTAGGTATAATTGAAGTGTAAGTGAAAAAGTATTAAACTTTTCAGTAAACAAGCGGCGTCATGTACAAGACACAGAAAGTTAATGGCAAGCAAGCAAGAATAAAATAAAGAACGGAAAGATTGAAATTATTTTCTAAAAATGAAGAAAACCAAAGTCAACACATATTCTTGAAAAATTAGACAAAAACTTGTATGAATCATTTCACGGAATTTGTTATTGCTATATGGCAAAATTTTACGCAGACCCAGTAAATATTAAAAATTGATCGATCAAAACGAATTCTGAAGATTAAAATACTGATAATGTTTTTTGAAAAACATTTCGCTCCAAGCACGGCAATAAAACCACTAAGACACAAGGTGTTACTGAAAGTGAGAGTATATAAGAAGAAAAAAAAAACACTAAAGGTGGGGATTGTAGCTGCTTGTTTACTGCACCTGATGTTCCCAAGCATTTAAGTTCTGACCAGGCTCGACGCTGCTTAACTTTGGTGATTATAGTGATTCGTTAATTCAAGTTCCTTTTTAAGTTTAAAATATGAGGCGGTATAATTTTTTAAACCCTTAACATTTTAGTATGAAATTATGAAGAGGGTAAAGTATTTTGAAAGACCAAAAACCTTGATTTAGTAAAAAAAAAGGTGTATAGCTGGTTAAAGTTTCAAACACCAAAACTTAATATTTCGTTTAATTTAGCAGCATTTCCAGTATCGTTTTTATCGATCAATATTTTTAACATATCTTGACGCGGTTTAAAAAAGTAAAAAGTCGCACGGAAATTGAGTAATGAGTGATAAGAAATAATGTTTTCTTTTTAATCTAAATCCATGTCTATACTGATGGTTTTAGTCAGTAATGAAAACATTCTATGTAGTACCAACTGAAAAATAGATATAACAATATCCGAGGAGTGCTTTCCCCAACTGATTATTTACAACTTCTCTTCTTTATTAAGTATGAAGATTTCCTAGTAAGGAAACGTCAAGATCTCTGACGACGGAAGGAGGGAATAGATAACTTTTAGCAAATGCAAAGGGACAAGAAACATCATCACTCAGATTTTGAACCAAGAAACATTACTTCACCAATCGAAATCATTTTTGCATACCCTATGTAATTCTGTGTTAGATTTATGTCCAAGATCATGCAATATATCTCCTTTCCTTCAATAAATTATAACCAATACAAAGTGGAATATCCAAAAATAACGACAAAAAGCAAAAGCGATAGGCTAAGTTTAAACATATAAAACTAAGCACATAAAACTGCCTACCAACTGAGTAATGTCTACAATGAAAAAGAATTTATCTAAATTTAATACATAATTTGTTACAATTTACGCGCTTTACATTGTTTGAACTGTTGTCCTCATCTTTGTTGTCATATTCACGACGTTTCGGCTGTTGTACGCTCGAGCCTTCTTCGGGTGATTGGAATTTCGAACCGAGCCCTTTATTTCGTCCACCGGGGTAGATTGTTCTAGTTTCACGTGCCATGCCTCTTCCAATCAACGGAAGAAAGCCAGAGCGTAAAACGGTCGAAACGTTGTCAATATGGCAAAAAAGATAAGGACAACAGTCCGAACAATGTAAATAGCTACAATACCTTATCTCAGAAATATAGACAGACAACGTTTAACATCTAATTACAACGGACGTCAATTCAAAGGCTGAGTGTCACTGTATCTTTTAACGTTTCGATGTACAGACACTAGAACATTTAAACATTTGCATTTTACTGTGATGATTGCATTCGAGAAGAACAAAAAGGCTAGATATGGTTTAAGGAAAGAACCATTGATGTTCTTTCGAAAACAAACCCTCGTCGATTAAATGGAATAAATTTCCATATTAGGATATATTTACACTGTTTACATTGTTTTGACTATTGTGCTCATCTTTATTTCCATATTCACAACGTTTCCGGCATTCTTCAGATGATATACGCTGAAATTTTGAACCGAATCCTTTATCTCGTCCACTGGGGTAGATTGTTCTAGTTCCACGTGCCATGCCTTTTCTGGATATCACAGTATCAGTAACTCTCCAAGTTTTTGTTCACCTCTTCCGTGGCCAGGTATTCTACTGACAACTCTTTGGGTCAAGTCACTGGATTACTTCAACCAACGCCTTTATCCACTGGCCACGTGTCCTTGGTTATATCATCTGGAGAAGGCTGGAGCGTAAAACGACCGAAATGTCGTGAATATGGCAACAAAGATGAGGACAACA